CAAGCAATTAATGTTAGACAACATTAATTCAAATCGTCCAGGTTTTTTGGATTTTTAACTAGTTGAGAAACAATCTTATCAGGTAAGAATTTGACGATTTGTTTAGTCCCGTTAGTTCTTACTTTTAATGTAAAAAAATGAGAATTTTTTTTACAAATTTTACCATAGAAAATTTGTGACGTAATCCCTTTAAGGTTTAGAGGTTTCACAAAATCGACCCTGGGACTGTGAAATCCGCGGATTTCCGCGGATCCGTGGAAGATTCTCATCCCTGTATATCCCCCCTCCCTCTTCTATCACCAAAGGTGAGCTACAGTGTCATTGACACTTTCATTACACATCATTGTATAAATTATTTAGCTTTTTTGAACATTTACATTTTTGGAGTTTTGCTACGAGCCAGTCTTATCTGGTTAGTAGAAACAAAATTCGGCAGACAAATGTTCTTGCTTACATTGATTTTATTTTACACCTTCTAAGCCTTTACAGCAAATCGTCGTAGCGGATACAGTCTTTGCTTTCTCTGCTGCTTCTTCGTCTTCAAGGACAATTCATGCTTGGTGAGGGCCCGTCTGATTGCACGCGTCTTTTTTGGTCTTAGATCAAGAGGCTTGTATTTCTTAGACTATAAAGAAATGTCAACATATATGAGTTTTGATTGTACAACCTGTACAGTTAGTACCAGCACATCAGTCCTATTGATCAAATTTATTTGTGGTCTTAGATTATTGTTGGCCGAGTTTGATCATATAAGCTGCACAAGAATCACATTTATGCACCCAACTTCAAGTGAAGCATATCATATAAATTTTATATTAGCTAACAATAATATTCAATGCAGGAATATTTAATTTAAGATAATGTACAAACGTTCCACAATGATAATTTGTGTTAAACACCACATTCAATACCTTGTAAAATTTCCGCAGGTTTTCCTTTTGTGTCTGGTTGATGACAGTGAGGCACCTTGCGATAGATTTTCTCACGACACGGCTGCAAAGTTATTTAAATAGTATTAGACAGTTGGATAGGTTGGTCAGACTCAGCGATTGCAGTTACACAGGAGGATTAGTCCACAAACAGGTGACATATAATATAAAAATTACGAGATGCGATTCGCAATCATGAAAACAGATCTACCATGACATCAGCCTCAGTGGCAACAAGTGACCCTTATCCAGGGATGAGATTGGAGAATTTAATTTTCAGCTGAAATTGAAATGAGCAAACAGAGGAGCGAGCAATGCGAGGACCGTAGGTCATCGCCACGCTAGGGGGGTCATGGGGCATGCTCCCCCGGAATTTTTTTTAAAAGAATGGTGCAATTTGGTGCATTCTAAGCTATTCTGAACACATTATAGGAGACTCTTGAATCACCTTTTCAAGTTGTCAAAAGGAACAAACGAACTATGAATAGGAAATCAGGGGGCTGAAAATAAGGCAAGTTTTTTTTATTAAATGTCTAGACATAATGATATTTTTCTGTTTCCACCCGTCGCTTGCATTGTTTTACTCAGGCATAAGCTGCCTTGCTGCGACGAGATTTGAATAAAAAAACAATGCGAATGAAACAATCAGTGCATAGTCATGCACACAACATGCACACAGCAACATGTAAACCCGGCCCCCTGGTCTGGTCAGGCATGGTCGTTACGTGATCAGCTACCTCAAATGTCTGCCCCTCTACTGCAGCCTGTGAACGAGGATTTTCTTTTCTGGTACACAAAAACAGATACACTGTATACTTCGCTGTCAGTCTACTGTCTACACTCTACAGTCTACAGTCAGGTGCTGTTGAGGGTATATAATTTAAATTTTTACATTGTTACCCCCCCCCAATTTTCTCAACGAATTTAGACGTTTTACAAAATCGACCCCTGGGACTGTCAAATCCGCAGATCCGCGAAAGAATCTCATCCCTGCTTATCACAAATTCTGAACTGATTTTGGCAGGCAATCGGTGTTCTTAGTTCATTGTATCTAATGCGCAAGATATAAAATTCCGTTTTCGATATCCGTTTCATCTAACGAAGCAGATGCGAAGGTATTTAACTTGATCCCTTACATTTTTGAGAGCTTGGAAGCGGCACCACCGGTAACTTTAGCAACACGGAGAGCAGACAGTTCAGTCTTCAACTCTTCTAGCTGCTTCAACAGTTCCTCCTTCTTCTTACCACGCAGCTCGTGGGCCTTGACTTTGGCCTACACAAAAATATATCACAAGGTCAGCCATTTTGCAAATCAGTGACACATGAACGAATCGAATGGATCGAATAAAAATAAATCCAGGGCAATAGAGTGATTGGCTTCACATAAGAGCATCATTAATTAGTATGACTATGACTCATGAGACACAACCCAGATCAACAGCAGTGGAGCTAACAACCGACTTTCTTTTTGTTATTGTTTGGCCTTTGCAGATTTGTCTACACCAGGAGTATGCTATATCGTAATTAACCCGATAAAGTTACACTTTTTGTAATACGTATTCCTACACATATTTCTGTGCACTATTTTATAAGTTTCTGCACTAGTAAATAACATTTACTATTAAATTTACACGTACTACTGAGTAAATGAGTATCAATAGATGGGTATAAGCATCACAACAACAACAAATAACAGGTTGATACGCGGCTCCGCTGTACCTCCTTCGCTTATTTTATAAGTTAAAACGTTAACACATATATACGCCTAATAAATGCAAAATACAGTTTTACAGTAACGCTGATTATCACGGATTATTATAACATGTGTAACTTACCATTTCGATGGTTTACTATTAGCCGGAAAAGAGATCGAAAACGAGGCTGCTCACCAGGAACTCGGGGTTATGCAGGTAACTTTAAACATTTTAAAAACGATACTAAGCTAATAAAAAGAAAACGTTAAGAGTAATATTAAGTAACAGTTTATATTAAAAATAACAGTATTAATTTTAAGTAATGCTGCAATTATAGCTAAATAAAACTAAACGGGTCTTTATGACTGAGGCAAAGTTGATACGGTTTGCCGCTTCCGGTTGGGAGTAACTAAAGTTGCAAGATTCTTGTTAAACGATGTCGAAAGCTACCTCATCTACGAAGTTCAGGACGGTAGATGTTGACCAGTATAATGAAGACAATTATCAAGATGAACAAATAGAAGACGCAAGTAGTGCAGGACCTGACGAAAATCAAGTGAACCAGCTGCTCAATATATATCCTTTTCGTGCAAGGTTTTCAACTTCCGTTTCGCATCTACATTGGCTTGAGATGATAGGTTATTACTATTAGTATTACTATTACTATTAGGTACATACTCTGTTACTCAACTTCTCAAGTCATGACACTGACAGTCATGTCACTATCATACACACACATATTATCCAGAGAGACCGGGTACAAGATGGCGTTGCGCAAAAGATGCGTTGTTCCCCGACCGCCGAGAGCGGTTAAGCCGCGCACTTCCGCGGGACTGGGCGCACGCGACCGCGGTGTGTCTCGCGACCTCGGTGTGTCGCAGCATCCCGCGCTGCCCGCTCTACGGATTCGCGCGCCGAAGGAGGGCGGGCGCGCGAATCCGTATAGCGGGAAGCGTAACATCGCGCAGTTTTCGTCACACACCGGCTCGGCTATGGCGGCCTTCGGTGGGGACATTTCGGTGGGGGCAGCGCGGGGTCAATAGGTTGGTAAAACCTCGCACGTACGCAGTCAGGCGCCGGCACGGCGGGAGCGCGTTTGAAGATAGCATCTAGGCCGCGCCACCCCACGTGGAGCGCCGTACGACTCTTCGTAAAAAGCTCTGTGATAGACATAACTCTATACTCGGCAGTAGTGCCCGTCATCGCGTAGCGGCCAACGAGCGAGCGCGTCATCGCTGATTGACAGCATTTCTGGAATTTTACGTCTTAGCCATGAGGCACGCCACTCCAAAAAAAGTTTAGGGACCGTTTGGAGATGGCCTCAAGCCGTCCATCCCGAAATGTCGGTTGGATTGCGCCCAGTTTTCGCGGAGTGCGTTTTCAGACCCCTGTCTCAGATATCTGTCTAAATGGACAAAAAGGGGGCGGCGTATTAGCTGTTGGGGATGTGCGCTGCGCGCAAAAACCGGGGCCGCAAGTCTGTCAAGAGCTAATAAATACCTAGAGTGTACAACGGGAAAACGGGAAAATAGTGCTATTTCACGGCAATATTATTCTACTTTGTATGCGGTTCTAGACTAAGTTAAACTTCATGGTATTGCGTTAAGCAGCATTCTTTGCTCTCTAAAATAAGACCAACCGCTTGTCTCAGGGCTCGAATTAAGCGACGAGAAGGGCAAGGCAATTTTTTTAGGGCATGTGAGAAATCGCCTTGAATTTTCTCTAAAATGGAAGGGCACAGAGGCAATTTTAAAAAGGCACCAAGGCAACTCTCAAAATTTGAGAAGGGCACAAAGGCACTTTTGTAAAATAAAGGAAAACTCATAACAAATTATTACATCAACATCGTCTTGCTTTTAATGTACAAAACAATATGCCCCCATGTAAGCTTACACCGTAACACCGACCCCTGTATACCCCCCTCTGCTAATGGAAGTACAGTAACAAGAAATTTTACATGCCCGCTATCAGGAGCGAATAATTATCCGATGCTGTTATTATTCCCTCCTGCGACTATCGGTTTTAAGCTCATCATTGCAACTACAGCACACACGCGCACAAGTTATGTTGATTCGACTAAAAACGAAACTAGGGCAGTAGATTAAAGGGCACCGACGGCAATTACACAAAAGGGCAAGGCAGGTGACTGCCGTCGGTCGGGTTGGATTTTCAGGGGCAGTACGGCAATTGATAGGGGCACCGACGGCAATTGCCGTCGGTGCCGTCGGTTAATTCGAGCCCTGGCTTGTCTCTACGATACTCCTAGGCCGAGATATTGGAGCGTAGTCATGCCTCCCACAGGCGTCACGTGGCCTCGCATCCACAATATTCACTATCCTTCTCGCCTTTTGCGGGTCTGGCTATCGTCTTCTGTCGCCGCTTGGAGCGCTGATAATTGATGTCACATGCCCAAATTTGGTACTCTTACTACACCATATAGTAACTGAGCTGCGTTGTAGAGACTTAATTTAGAAAACATTGCCGGCTCTATCTTTCTTTTTTTTATTAATTTATTTTGATAATTAACAAAGCATACATTACGGCGATAACAGCATAAATAAACAAAATGCAGCTAGAAAATTATCGTGGATAAAAACACAAAAAGCGTGGCTAACACACTTATTACCTCCGCAACGGAGTTGCAGGGAGGTAATGTGACCCCTCTCGTGTGATGTTCGTGTGTGTGTTCGTGTGTGTGTGTGTAGCCAGCAGCGAGGCAGCTGTTATAAAAAAAAAAGAAGCTTTCTGAGTGATACAATACAAAACAGTGCTATATACCATGAAGAAAAAATATAAAAGAGAAAAAAACTTCAGCATATTCTGTACAAGTAAAGTGATTACGGTAAATGTTTAGCAGGTAGAAATGATTTTTCCTGAGTAAATACAGTACAAAGCAGTGCAGAACAACATGAAGAAAAACTAAATACACACAAAAAAACTTCATCAAATTTTGTACAAGTAGTACCCTTTTAGCACATCATTTCGACACTCGGTTCGTACACCATTATATCCACATTACAAACATAACATATTTCGCACACACTCACATTTGTATAGATATAAACGTATTGAAAAGTGCAATAGTGTTGGGCAGTTAAAATGGTAATTTTTGAGTGATACAGTACAAAGCAGTGCATATATACAACATGAAGAAAAAATAGATACAAGAAAAAAACTTCAGTATAGCCTGTGCAGGCAAAGTGATTAAGGTACACTTTACCCATAATTGTCTATCATGACGGGCATTAGCCGTGCTAGGAAAGATAATGGGAGATAAGGGCATAGGCGATGCCCCCGAAAGTCACCGATGATAACCGAAACGCCGTTCATTCATAAAGTAATCGCGGAAAAAACCGAACTCTCACGAAGCGACTTTCCTCACCCGCAAAAGGCGAGAAGAATAGTGAATATTGTGGATGCGAGGCGCCGTGAGACCTGTGGGAGGGGAAGTTTACGAGCCAATATCTCGGCCTAGGAGTAATAGTATCGTATTGACAAGCGGTTGGTCTTGTTTTAGAGAGCAAAGAATTCTGCTTAATGCAATACCATAAAATTATTCTAGACTCGCAGGCAAAGTAGAATAATATTGCCGTGAAATAGCTCTATTTTCCCGTTTTTCCGTTGTAAACTCTAGGTGTTTATTAGCTCTTGATATTATACATTAGCTCTAGTACTATAGCCATCGTCACCAGCACCATCACCAAGCCCCTTCCCCTGGCAGTACTGGCCAATACATCGCGGTCATCATGTACTTCGTTATCATGGACTGTGGTCCGAAAGTAAAGTAATCAGTACATAACCCGCCCTAAAATCACTGACACCAGGTTCTCTCGGTACCGACTCTTCTCATAAATTGGTTGTCTACAAGACTGTCTGCCCATAAGGGTGAACTAGGCAGTTTCCTAGTATGTCAAGTTGGGTTGAGTACTTATTCAAGATAAAGCTCAATTTAGGGCACGTTTGGTTGGGACGAATCCGTCGGATCGCGATCATGTGATCCTGATCCGCACAAACAAACGAGTACTCGTCATACAACGAAATAAAATATCTGAGTGACACACGCATAACACTTGCTAGCAGGGTCGGGTTCGGTGGATCGAGATCCGTGGATCCGACCAAACAAACAGTCAGATCGACGGATCCAGTGGATCGAGATCCGTGGATCTGACCAAACAAACACGCCCTTAGTAAAGCCTCCATGGGATTGCACACCAACGAAATTGGGGTATTATTGGGAAGCGTGAGAGTAGGAAAGTTACCAGATAGAATGACATAGCTCTGGGTAGACATGGCTTTTACTTGATTGATACTAATATTTTACGTACACAGGTGCACAACACATTGGCAATCGAATAAACTTTATTTTGCGAGTGGTTGAGAATTTTCTTGTGTCAGTAGCAAGCACTTCCTATTATTAAGGAAAGGTTAATCACTGTAGCAGATCCTGCCCTGATCTTTTACTAGCCATGGTATTAAAGTTATTCCTTGCATTAATATTTTTGGTTAGCAATGATATATTCCTTAACGTTTAGTTGTTACGGCGAAGAATGTGGAAGCCTTACAAGTGGCACTGAAGAATCCACCTATAGGATCAAAAAACCAGGCTGAAAAGGTTTGTGAGAGCAACATGTCAAACTTGGCAATAGTTTTAATGATCAGGGGTAGCGACGTTGGATTTCCAATAATTTAGCCTTGCACACTTTATTGTTTTTAGCTCATCTGACATAGTCAGATGCAGCTTGTAGAATTGCATGAGCGTGCATCCGTGCGTCCGTCCGTGCGTCCGGCCGTCTGTCCGTTCGTCAACAGTTGGGCACAAATCTAAATGGCACAACGTACGGTCACGATATTCGGGACATGGGGGGGGGGAATCCGAAAACGAGTTGGGATGTCGAAGCTGGGGGGTCAAAGGTCAAAGGTCAAGAGGTGTAAAAGAAGGGGGAACATTCCCTCCTTAACTTAAGGTATAGGGAGGAAATGCAGAATTGCGGCACAAATCTAAACGGCTCTCCCTAGGCTCGTGATAGTCGGTGTATAGCATCATGGTAGGAAAAGCCATCACTGTGCCGAAATTGGAGGTCACAGGTCAATGGGGCACAGGGCAGATTTTAGACATTTTCTGAGGACATGGTCTGACGGAGCGATTGAAAAACTTTTTTGTTTCAGCGGTGACCTAGCATTTTTATGGCTTTATTGAAAGGACCATGAAATGTACTTTCTGCTGACATGCAAAGAGTAAGTGTCGGATAACCTTTTGACCCTCAAGAGGAGGGTTAAACATGGATTCCTGAACTGCCTCAATGACGTCACAGTGTTGTCATATTCATGGCACATCCATAATCTAGAAACCCAGTAAGCCTGGATAGCCGAACGCGTACAGCACAGACGTCACGGCTCAAAGGTCGTTGGATCAAATCCCATCTGATTTTTTATTATTTACCTGTTTTCTGTATTTTTCTATCTTTATCCATTTAACTATTTTTTTCAAATTAACGCAAATATTTACATGATTTATTTACAACAATTTAATAACAACAAATAATTTTTTTTTTAATAGGGTTAAGGTTAGGGTTAGGGTCACAATGCACCATAAAACAGGAGTTTCAGGCACCCGATTTGTATCAACCAATGGGATTTGGGAGGTATGCAGAATGCAGAAGGTTGCTGAAATGATGTGTACGCAACTGCGTATCTGCATATCTGCGCCCAGCAAAGGTGTCACTACGCACGACTTAAAGGTTACGTTTATAACCTTAGCAACAGACCTCAGATGAGCCCAGTCGCTCTGCGGCTCTTGTCTTTACGTATAAAGTGGACTATTTTAATTCAGTTAGATATCTAGAAGCAATGTAAACTGTATATACTTCAAGATTCTAAGCACTTGTAACTTTGCAGATGTGCGGCAGCATTGATCTATGCATGGGGGTACCCAGGACTGGGGAGGAGAAAAACGAAAGTAAAACCTTTCCCAGAAGCTCCCCCGACATTCCTAGAGCTTGAAATATATTATTTGGCCAACTCTATGTTACATGTACATGCTGTTAATGCCACCCAATGTTTATTTTTATATACCATTTTGTTACTCACTGCTAGTAAATAAGCAGACCACCAACTTTTGTGCAGGACCACCGACTTTCTGAAGTTGGTGGTCCTGCTGTCCACTAGATTTTCAGCCAAAATTCGAACCCTGCATGCAAATGTGGCTTTGTGTCGCTGAGAGGGTCTATGTCCCCCAGGGTACTGCCGGAACGTACCCTGGTACTATCTAATATGCCGGACCGTACCTCGCCTACTCCACTAACGAGTCTATGGAGTCGCCTACGCCTACTCCCTAACCCTAACCCTAACCCTAACCCTAACCATACCAAATAGTTACGAGGGTACGTTCCGGCAGTACCCTGGGAGACATAGACTCTATGAGCCTTTGTGTCCAATGTGACAAGTTTGTAGGGCATAAAGTCACACATGTACCGTTGTACGTCATGGTAGAAATACCAATGGAAAATTGGGCTACCACTTTTCATTTTGGGCCAGAAAAAATAAATATTTTTTTTTGGAGTGTCAAGCACTGATAGTGTTCTCCGATTTATTGTAAACGAAACTGTATATCATGGTATGGGAAAACTAAATAGATTTACTGCTAGGCGAGTGTTTGAGATTGATTCTGAGCTCAGATTTGTTGAATTTAAAAGCATTATAAACTTTATGTAAATTAGGGCTAGCTAACATTGAATGTCAAGTAATTTAGCCTTGCACTCTTCTTTGTTTTTATTTACTCGTGATTTTAAGTTAATAGTTTTGCTTTGTATTGGAAAAGCTAGTTGATTTTCTCACATTTCTTATCATACAATGCAATTAAAAGATTCCATGCATTTAAAACATTATTATACCATGTACAGTGAATTAACTGCTACAAGCTTGTGTCCTTTATGCGTTTGTTCATACTGCTTCAGGATAGGGCCGTGCAGCTTGTGATCAGAGTGCTACTGTCATTCAAAGCCAGTGAGATAGAGAATGCCATCAGCAAGTTGGATAGGGATTCCATGGACATCTTAATGAAGTATATATATAGAGGATTTGAGAACCCCAACGATGGCAGCAGTGGTCTCTTACTAACATGGCATGAGAAGGTATGGAAATAAATATTTCTGTGGCACATGTCATTCACTAGCGAATGCATGGAATTCACCCTGCTGATGTATATTAAATTTGTGAAGGTCAATTCAACTTGATTTCTGCCATTATTAAATATTTGTCAATTTATTATCGTGGCCACATGAAAAATCTATACTATTACTAGCAATAACCTTCAGTAAATGCGATGTGCTGTCCCCTGGTGGCAGCAAAGTATATATTACAGATAGCAGACTGGTGAAATCAGTAGTGCCAGGTTTTAATGTTTTAGCACGTTAGGATATCTAACTAGTAAATTTATAAATAGTATAGTCTACTGATGTAGTTGTGTGTATTTACTGTGTAGAGTTTTTTTCTGTTGTTTCATTCAGGCATTTGCCAGCGGTGGTATGGGCTGTATCATGCGAGTGCTCACAGATCGAAATAGCGTCTGAGCCCATTTAAAGATTGCCACCAAATGATCCAAAGAATCGCCAACCAAGTTTATATAATTTTTTGTAAAACAGGGCAATTTTTGGATCAAGGATGCTCCATAACATTTGTTATATGCCGGTCAGCAGGCCAAGTAGCAGATAAATAATAATTCAAACTGGAAATATCCCGTGGGACTTTGTTTCCCTGAGAAGGTCGATGCAAATATAGGAGACCGTCACCAATAATGAACTGCCATTGTGTAAGTTTGGTGTGTTATGGAACAGGCTGCCCGTGAGTGAATATAGTTCTTATTGCTGCAAGATTTGCTTTTGCATAAAGCAAATATATAAGCTTTTCTGATCAAATTTCATGCATCTTATTATGATTAAAAACGTACAAAGTATTTTGTTCTTGAAAGAAGAGTACGGGCACTTTGTGTGATTACCTTAATTGTGGGCAGTCATTGTATCATAAATGAGACATCTTGAGTTTGAATAATATTGTGTATGGGGTCGTGCTAACGTGGTTATCTCTATTCATTATGTGAAAGAGGTTTCACTGTGGCGTTGGGCTTATGCTGTTGTAATGACACAAGTAACGTAATCACCGGATCATCAGCCAATCATCTTGACTGTTGTTGAATTATTCAAGGCTGCTAGTGGCTCATGTGTGGGCACGCTACTATTCTAACACATTGGTGATTCTGTTCCCCCTCGTTATTGACTGTGGAGGTTAATGAAGATCATGCCCCCCCCCCTCGTGCTACATTGATTTAATCATTTTGCAGTTAAACTTTGTCTTGTTTATCACCTAGGACTGTACTCTCGCACTCGTGCATTCGATACAGTTAAAAGAGGTGTTGGTAGAGCTCTCTACTGTGTAAACGCGTGAAATATTTACAGCATGTAACGCACCTGTGCCGGTGTTTACTCGCTCACTCGTGAGTTTGTGTATTTGTCTATGTACTTTGATTATGTCCATTGGAGTGGTTCTCCACGAAAATTCAGTTTTGTTGCTGCACTACAGGTGGAGGTAATTTCATTATCTCACCATCGTTATTCACTTATTCATTTTCTGTTTTTTACATTGAAGTGTTGAAAATTCTTATTTTGATTTTAAGGCACTTCTTTTTGTACATTCCAATTAAGGGTTTGTTATAACTATTGGCTTATTATCATGAACACTAAAGTTAAATAAGCTAGTTGATACTGTGTCATCTGGGAAAATGCTGGCAAATGCATATGCTGTTAAAGGTGTGCATAATATATTATTGCAATTGCCACCCATGTCTAAGTAAAGCTAGTGTAACTACTTGAGGAATAATTCAGCCATGCCTTCTGTGTTGAGAAGCAGAGGCACAATAGTTGTGCTGTGCTGAGTGGGGAGGGGAGTTTGACTGCATAGCTGGCAAGGAAATTGAACGTAAATAATGAGGGTACTGACACGAGTATTGGTCATCAAAATGCAATTACATGTCACTTGAAATAGCTGTACAGCGTGAGCGAAATCTAGCACTCCTGACGTATGAATGCACTTGGGCCAGTAATACCTATACCTGAGTGGAGGGGGTGTGAATGCGATGTAGCCCAAATATGTCTGAAGGTGTGTGTGTGTGTGTGTGTGTGTATGACTTGGTCTGATTTGTCTGCTTGTAATTAAAGGCAGTCGATGAATACACATTATGATTGATCTGGTTTTCATTTGCACACCATTCTCGTAAAATGAAGTTTGGATTTTGTCGTGAGACAGTGCAGCATATTCATGGGTTAAAGTAGCAAGCCGTTTACGCGACGATACAAATTGATTTAGTTTCCAAAATTGTTAAAATATACTTTGTTCTAGGATGTACAAAACAGTATCGCTTGTATTGACAGTATTGTCTAATCACCTCTTTATTATTTCACAAGAATAACACTTTGCTCTAAAACTACATTTACATGTATCATGTATGGCAGAACTTCAGTGACAAAAAGTGTCGAAATTGTATAAGGTAATATATAATTGTACCTCGACTGCCAGGCACGTTCCGTTATGACCAAGCACAACAGTGACAGAAACAGCAACACGGAATTATGCAGCACGTGGCTATATAATAGCATTTTACTATACACCAGCAATCACAATACTATGTATACGAGCAAGGCTGACGCTCCATTAGGAGTGTTCCCAACTTTGATATCACTAATGATTAATGATTAATGATTGATAATCCTAACCCTCCCCCTAACTCTAACCCTAACCTAAATGACATTAAACCACAAACTAATATATGACCATGACCATATATATATATATATATGTTTTTTTGACCATTAATGACATTAAAGTTGGGAACACTCCTAATGGAGTATCACCCCAAATAATGCACGAAGATACAGTCATAATCCACGGTGTGCGGTTATCCGTGGACGGCGCACAGTTACCTGTGCACTCACAAAATATACGAATCTAACTAGCTGAGCTTAAGGCGCACACGTGGCAGTACAATACAATACAATGACGAATTCTTACGATCTGTAGTTCGTGGTGCCGGTAGTCTTGAGCGTCTTGAGCAGCTTGATCAGAGCTGCGACCTGCCCCTGCCCCTGTCCCTGCCTCTTCCTCTGCCTCTTCATCTTCCTCTTTCTCTGGTTGACTCGACCGCCGAGTGCCTCCGACGCTGAGTGCTTGATAACTGTCATATGCTCCCCTTATATACCCGCCAGCCCAGCTTGGTTTTGCATAGAGAACACACGAAACGTGCACGTTCTCACGTCGTGGTGGAAGCTCAAGGATGAGACGATGAAGCTCCCCGAAGCTACCACGCGTGTTGAAGCTGAAGCTGCACCTCCACGTCAGCAATGATGATTACTGGCGTGCCGAGGTTGCGTCAAGCTTTACGCACACGCAGTAGGATATTACGTATGTTTATTTCCCCCCAGATATGTGCATAAGTGTGCAGGCATACACGGCAGGACCCCCAAAATCGTTACAATCTATTCGTGGTATGTCAGTTGTGATAAGGTAGATACTGGGGGGAAGTTCTAGCATGATCATTCTTGTGTCAAAGGTCAAAGGTCAAGAGGTGTAAAAGAAGGGGGAACATTCCCTCCTTAACTTAAGGTATAGGGAGGAAATGCAGAATTGCGGCACAAATCTAAACGGCTCGACCTAGGCTCGTGATAATCGGTGTATAGCATCGTGGTAGTAGGAAAATCCATCACTGTGCCGAAATTGGAGGTCACAGGTCAAAGGTCAATGGGGCACAGGGCAGATTTTAGACATTTTCTGAGGACATGGTCTGACGGAGCGATTGAAAAACTTTTTTGTTTCAGCGGTGACCTACCATTTTTATGGCTTTATTGAAAGGACCATGAAATGTGCTTTCTACTGACGTGCGAAGAGTAAGTGTCTGATAACCTTTTAACCCTCAAGAGGAGGGTTAAACATAGATTTGTTGACTGTTAAAGGACTGAACTGCTTTTGCTATTAGAGCCCCCTTCACCCGCCCCTCCCCCACCCTCCCCCACCACCACCACTACGCTCGCGCTCGACGCATATCCATGATAAGCGAAGTCATTAAAGCTACACAGCTATATCTTTATTACTGTACTACCGGCCAAAGCCTATCAACGCGGTGGCGGGAGGGCGCACTTGATTCGGTTGCCAGTGAGTTTATCAGAAGAATAGCCGGCTACAGTACACGGCAGTTGAGCGCTGTCGCTCTGCGGCACTTGTTTAATTGGATCAGGAATGATAGGCACGGCGCATCGGTAACAGAATGTTTGTCCTTCAGCGATTAGTTTGAGTATGACGCAAGTTTGTAGATATCCGAGTACAAAGATCACCCTCATTGGGGATTGATAAAGGAGTGTCTTAACTAATGCGTTGTATCAAAACATTGTTTCGCCGGAGGTGGTTCGGGTAAGGTAGTTCGGTGTTGCAGTTCTTAGTTCCCCGTTAATTTTTAATGTAAAACTATATAACGAGTTAATTATTGACATGAACGTATAAGTTATGTATATTTCTCGTTAATATCCACAACCGCGCCTGTTATCCAAATTAAATGTACGATTGAAATTCTAACCGTATATTAGGGCGGAACATAGTAGAGTGTAGCAGCAGATCTAGACTAGCTTACAAACTGCGCTTCTCTCTACGCAGGAAGACGGTTTAGTATTCTAGTTGTATGTTGTGACTATGCTAAATTCCGTAATAGTATAGGAATAGTGTACTGTCGTGAAGATATGAGATCGTGTCCTGGCTTTTATTTTCTGGCCGATTTCCCTTCGATCTCTATGTGTCAATAGCGGTTCTCCGCATTTAAAAAAATATGCGCACGAAAAAAACTGTCTAAATAATTTGATAATATCAAAAGCATATAAAGAAGGGAAATATTCCTTCTTTATATGCTCGTGATAATATCAATGAGAATTGAGCCTTGACTTAACAAGTGATACCGTGCCGGAACTAGTTTCACGTTCCATTCCTTTGAAGAAGGGGCAGTTAATTTTGGAACCGAGAAATACTAAATGAATTTTTAAAATTATGCTGTTTAAATTATTAGAACACACGAATTGTGATTCTATTTAAGTGGGAAATGAAAATGCAATATTTGTGCCCGGTACAGTGGGAATGGACGCCACCCCATCTCTCTCGATCTCATCAAACGTCAGATAAAGTTTGACCGGGTCATGATGAAAAGGTTTAGCGTTCTTGGATGTATAACTTACGATATCTGGCTCCGAGAGATACATACATAGGGTACATATATATATATATATATATATATATATATATATATATATATA